TCAATTTCAGCAGCGGCTGACTCAGGGAAGCCCGGGGCAGAGCAGCTCCAATTGTCCTACTTTCAAGTAGGAATAAGGGATCCTCCAGAAAAGGGCTTATTTTCCGGAAAATCACGTCTACACTGGCGCTTTTCTCCGGCAAAAACCCCGAGCCGGAAAAAAGCGGCAGCCATGTAAATGCAAATGCCGCGGGGGATATTTAAATACCCCGCAGATTTGCAATTCTGAAGTGTCTCATTAGCATCCCTTTTCCAGAAAAGGATGCCAATGTAGACACAGCCTACCTGTTTTGAAAAGGCTTTTTGTTGTCTCCGTGTTTACACTGGTCATAGCCCAAGAACAGTAGTACTACCAGCAGCCAATTCCTATTGGGCATGCTGAACAGTTATGGTTGGTACATAGGATACTGGAGCCTGTGTAAGGGTGAAGAATCAAGGGAGTCATCTGGAAAGAAGTGAAGGATTAAGATTGCAGAGGGAGAAACCACAGAGGGATCAAAGGTGTAGCTATTCTTGAATCATAACGCCGGTTTCCAAGGAGGTAGGAGTGGAAAGACAGGCTGGAGGACTGGAAGGGTTCCAGCTATTTTAAACAAAAGTAAAGGTTTTAAAAAAATCAATCAACACATGGGTTATGAAGAGTTGAAATAAAGTCAGCATTTATAAATGATTGCCACCCAGTAGCATGTGACATTCTGCAGTGTTTTCCTTCACTGAAAAGAGGGGATAACTGCAAGACCTCAAATACCGTTGTGTAATAAATGTGAGTGCATGCTGACTTTTAATGGTGGCCATTACAACTGACTACTACTTGCACTAATTCATGTCATCAGAACAAAGCCCCATAGGGAACCAAAATATTGATGGCGGTAGAGCTGAGCATGTCTGTTTTGCAGCTTTGAAAAGACTCTCGTTACAATATTGTAGATAAATACAAAACTACATGTCACTTTATAATGTCCAGTCATTTCACTCAACTTTGAAATTATATTAAGAAAGTGTATATCCACTACTAATTCACTTTCATTCCTGAAGTGTTTTCCAGAAAACTAGGATTTATTCTAGATACGACTAGGCTTGACAAAAGCTAGGATATATTTAAACAAATGTCTGTAACTATAGCTTCCCGACAGAAGTCACCTAGTAGCCTTGCCCTCGAGTTCACGTGCACTTCCCAAGAAGTAGACCCCATATATATTCTTGATTTAATAGGGAACAGGCCCTTTCTTCTCAATCACAAGTGTGTAAATCAGAAGTAATTCACAATTAAATCAATAATAATGTAAGTGAGATGAGAATCCAGGTCTCCATGTTTGAAGCATAACGTAACTAGTGCCTGTGAGAAGTAAACAGCTTGGTGGATATGGAAAGATGACCTAGGTTGTTGTTAATGAGAATGTGCAAAATGAAAATCAAAGATGAAATTAAAACACTGAATTAAAATTGTAATCCAGGGCTGAATTACTGTGGGTGTGCTCACTCCAATTGTTTAGCCCTGCAAGATAATTAATTTTTAACTGTTGATATATAAATACTGCTCATGCCAGGAGGGGGAAGGAATCCGAGGTGTGGTTATGTAAATCCAATTCAGCCAGGGCTGATGGAGGATCAGTGTTGGAATGGAATGTGTTGTATTGTAATGAATTTGGGGCTGTTGTGGGGGTCACAAATCATGCTACCCCTAAATGTGGGAACTGTAAAATATGACACCAGTGCTTGCAGGAGAGACACCATCATTGTAAGCGCTTCCTCCTGCCAGAGTTGAGTGAACTGAGTTGGGGGGAGGGCTTGAGGCAGCTTGCTTCATGCCTGCCAGGTGTGAGCTGTAAGGCTGGCTCAATCTGCCCCTTTCCCCCCTGGTTTTAAGGACAGACCTAAAGCAGACATCATGAGGAGTCTTTTTGCTAGTTCCAGTGGAAGCTGGAATCTTTGGTCAGCCTGGGTGGTGGCTTAAGAGTTGAAATCACTAAGGGTATGTCTACACTGGTGGCTTCATGTGCAAGAAGTCTTGCACAAGAAAACATCCACACTGTCATGTATGACCTGTGCTTTTGCGTAAGAGCGCCCATGGCAGTGTGGACGCTCTCTTGCGCAAGAAAGCTCTGATGGCCATTTTAGCCATAGGGCTTTCTTGCACAAGAAATCCCTGCCGAGTGTCCACACTGTCCTCTTCTGCAAGAGCTCCTGCGCGAGAGGGCTTACACCTGTTAAAAAAGAGCAAAGCTCTTGTGCAAGAAGCCCTCTTTTACCACGCCATACTGTAAATTTCCTTGCGCAACAGCAGGCAGGCAGTGTGGATGCTCTGCGGATTCTTGCACAAGAACGGCCATACTTGCACAAGAAGCCGCCAGTATAGACATAGCCTCAGAACTGAAATCACTGGTTTGGCTGGGAGCCAGACCCATTGCAGCCAGCAGAGCAGCTGGCAAGAACGACCAGTGGGGGGCCGGTATGAGCGGTAGCAGGTGGCCAGCGGTGCGGCTGGTGAGAATGTCCGGCAGGCAGCCAGTAGGAGCAGCACAAAGGTGGCATAGCCTCAGGCTCAAGGAGTAGAGTCATCAGGATGATGTGTCAGGGTCTCCACTGACTGGACAGAACTGTAAGTGGAGTGTTTGACGTGGGGTAAGGAGAAAGTTTGGGTAAGAGAATGGAACCCTTACCTTGGTGGACTGGTGAGCCTGAGAGGCAAAAGACATTTTAAAGAAGCTTTATTGAAGGCACAGAAAGAAACCATCCCGATGGGTAGCAAGAGAGGCAAACGTGGTAGGAGA